GCATTTTCTGCCACTAAATTTCCATTGCCGAGTCGTGCTCCCAAATTGCATGTCACATATGTACCCCTTCTATTTTTATTATTTTCACTGGCTTTGGAGAGATCGTTGGTACTTTTTGTGTGTTTGCAATTTTCCCCCTTCTTCATCTTCTATCCGCATAACTAGATGGGTCAACCGCCCAAGGTCCGGGCGCTCGGTGGGGGCGCTCGGTGGTTGACCTTGAATCTAGGTGGGCGGACAAGCTGATGTCCGACACGGAGTGGTCGGCCCAGCGCGAATGAGCAGACCTACTCGGTCAGACTCTAGGAGTCGGCCTCGAAGGTAGTAGGTCAGACTCTAGGAGTCGGCCTCGAAGCTGATTGGGCGGACAATCTAATGTCGGCACGGAGTGATCGGCCCAGCGCGAATGGGCGGACCTACTCGGTCAGACTCTTGGAGTCGGGTCCTTTAATCTATCTCACATCCTTTAATATTTCCCACCGAGCTGCACAAATTTCAAAGCCATGTTTTTATGAGGAAAATATTAATGGGGTGAGAAGAGTCAAACCCTGGCCTCTTTATTTTCTTCCGTGGTCTTTTACCAATCTTACGCAATCAAATTTTTGAATCTCCACAGCATTGAATTTAACGTATGTCCATATTGCGCGTTAAGACAGCCATGAGCAAGTTACGAGATGTGTCGACTTGTTCATCAAACAACTTCGGCTTTGAGATCGTCATCATCAATGTCATGCACGCCCGTTCTGAAAATATGCTCTGGAATGGTAAGTGCAAATTGCCATATTTTCTAGATTCAAATATCCTTATAAAGATAACCTTCGATAAGAATGTTTAGAAGCCATCCAGAACCATGTGTCCAGCATCTCCATCCTTCGCCACGCGCCCTCGACCGTGGGAGCAAGACTCGACCACAGGATTAGCCACCGCACCAGCCTCGGGGAGATGTTTTCATTCTTCTCCTTGTATTTGGCCTACTTGGTTTTTTGGGAAAACGTACTCAAAATGGTTTTTGTTTTGTGCAATAGCTCTAAGTACATTTACTGACGAGTGTTAGCCAAATGCAATACTATTTTCCTCTTCCTGTAAGATTCAAAAACCTTTATGCCTCATGCAAAACTGCCAGTAGCTTGTCTCTGTCATTTTAACTTTGCAATCCTCTTCCAACGCAATTGTCAGAAGCTAAATCTCGCCATCGCGCCCCATCCTGCCCAGAATCAAGGCTGTGAGACCCAGGTCCACCAAGCTGCGTGGGTCATCACTACTTAGCCATTTTAATGTTTCTCATCAAAATTGAACCAGCTTTCCATTTATTCCCTTGGCATTTTCTCTTTTCCTGCCTTCCTCATGTCAGATAGTGTAGCCCTGGAGATCAGACATCAATTGGAGCTTCCTATTCTCAACATGATACGGCTTGAGACGATCTTTGAGGCTTAAAGTCTGATATTCTCATCTGAGTCGACGGCTACTCCTAAGTTGTGCAACGAATAACTTCCACAGATTGATTCAGGAACTGGTGTGCCATCTTCAATCGACATCGATCCACGAATAGAAGTAAGCCGCGATGCATAAGCCTGGAATCGAATCGAAATTGCCCGAGCCGGTGCGGTCAAGCCGCTCATATCGTTGATTTTCTTCATCGATCCCGATCCCCAGGCGTCACTGCAATTCTCAACCTCTTACTTCGGAGTCGACGCATATAGAGAACGCCACTCGCGCCCTGCTATGTTTATTGCAATTCGAGCGAAACAAAGTCATAATCGGCGGCGTCGGCTCGATTCCGCCCCGAGAGGGTCTTCTAGAATACGGGAATTTTCACGGCAAAAAGGAACGCCTACCGGCTCTGTATTCGCGACTACTGGGTGCCGACGGCTGACAAAAAATTGGCCAATAAAACCAACAGAAATTTTCTGCTTCATTTCACACCCTTACTGCAAAAGGCTAATCAGCTCATTCCCCACAACATGTCCGATTTCTTCCCCATAGTCCGAGTGCTACGCAACGGACTCCCAAGCCTTAGCCGAGTACTCTCCTTGCTGACTCTGAACGTAATCAAGTCTGGCTCCACGGATTCCGCGACAGGCCGAATGGTGGTCGAGTCCATCGGTTGTCATCATGCTTCTTCTTCGCCGACCGCGTCCGAGTGCTCGAGTCTGATTCGATTCGCGGTCGCCGCCGACTGCCTCCTTTCTAATTGTTTGACTGCTTGCCTACCAACCATTTTTGCTTTCCATACTTGCCATGCTTGTCACGTACAGGTGTAGGCCCAAAGATGGCAGCCACGCATAACATTGCATTATATTTTTCATATATCATATGTAAAAATATGACAATCGTGTAGGAATTTTCTTTTTCTCTGATTTTGGTCGATCATTCTTCTATAGACAACGGTCTCGGACTTTCTTGTGATTGATTCGAGTGGAGTCGGCATGTTTAATTTTCTTGTTGGAGTGGTGGGAGCACACAACTCTTGATACGGACATCAATTTCATTCCTTGAACGGGAGTCCTTCAATTGAAATATATATTGCCGAGTTCCTTCAGTCGTCGTACTGTGCTGAATCCGAGCACACCGTCTGGCCGTCGTCCGAGTGCCTTCACTAATTTCCGACTTCCTGCATGGACGATGGCCGACTGACGATGAATGATAATATTCCGTAGGGAGTCGGCAACAGTTGCTGCCGTCTACGAAGAGTTGCTCAGCTCTTTGAGCTTGGTCGGTGTCTTCCAAACCTGCTGGTATATGCCAGACTGAGTCCCTCAGTCATCAGTGCGTTTCTCACGCTCATTTCATTAATGCCGTTTCGAATTGTAAGTGACATTCCTCCTCATGCTAATTCCTCCAATGATGTATCTAGGCCCTTAGCTTCTATGCAATAGTTTTGTCTGGAATTCGCTCCTTTGCGGCGTAAAGAGATAATGGATTGTCCACCGGATGCAGAGAAGCCATTGGAAAGGTGGAAAGGAAATTGTGAACTGTGGAAATCAAATGCAAGCGCATATGCGAATTAATTTTGCAAAATTTCCAAGCAGAAAATGCTAAGAGGACGCCAAGTTGATGACTGTTTCACTGGGTACACGGCTTTTCCAACCGCGGTCCGACCCTTCCCAAGCCTCGTTTGATACCATACTGATTATCTCTTCAATGTCAACAGATTCTTTCACATGATCAAGAGCAAAAGCGGAGAAAAAATGATTGTGACCCCGGTGTTTACCGTTAAAGTCGTGGTGGGTGAACCATTTATTCAGCGTCCCGACTTAATGATTCCCCAGCCGAGTCCCTCAGTGTGATGGACTGACCCCTCTCTTGCTAACAACTTTTGAGTATTCTAAATATTACGTCTAATTTAAGGGTTGCCTCTTGTAGACCTCAAACACACAGTTTTATTTGCTTTATTCTCCTCTAATTCTCTTCTTGGTCCACGGTTCTCCGTGAACCTTCTCAATCTTCCGCCCGTAGTGACCGGACGCTCTCTCAAATTGCTCAGACAAAGAGGCAAACACAACCTTTTGCCACGATCCCCACAGACGGCGCCAGTGTTGGTTTTTGGGTTTTCGGGCCCAAGGAGGTCCAACACAACCATTAGCTGGAGGATACACCTTTCAATAAAGCTTGCTAAAATAATATGGGTTCGATGATTTTGACGTGGAAACCGAAAGGAAAACCACGGACCTTTTTGGGGCGGTGCCAAGCCTAATTCCACTATGCATTTTGTAGGTGTCTTTTATACATACTTGTAGGGTTATTCTCTATACAAAGTTTTTGGGTTTCTAATAATATAGTGAGAATAACAGAAATGAGAGTGGTAGAATGGTGTGGAAGAGTCCTTCCATGTGTGTAGAGTGAGTGCCCCCTTTCTTCTTGTCTTCTCGTCCTTTTATAGCTAGCACATCCCAAAAGTGTCTGTTGGACCATTTAGTAGGGTAGTTAATAGGTATTAACTTGGTTATTAGTGGGGTAATAAGTGGGAGACTTAATAGGTAGCCTTTATTTGGGGGGTTATGGATGAGGTAGATAAATAGGGTAGTAAATAGGACTTTAAGGGTAGATAATTAGGAGTTTAATATGGGCTAACGGCTAGTTTTAGGCCGACCTTCTACCCGTGCCAATCCCACACTCGCGCCGACTCCCGGGTCGAGCCGATTCCTCGGTTTGGCTCGTATCTCTTTTGGGCTTGCTCCATTTTCTTCATGGGCTTCCCTTCTTTGTATGGGCTTTATCTCTTTTCTTCTTGGGTCCCGAGCCCACGGGGTTCACACCCCATCAATGAGAGTCATTGATCGTGTCAAGATCAACGTTCAAGATTAACAAAGTTTAAAAAAAAAAAAAAAAAAAAAAACGCAGTGGCAATTTGATAATTTTGCATCTAGGTCAAATTTTGAGGTGCGTGGTTTTCCTACTTAAGGTACGTGATTTTCCTTCTTAAGGTGCGTGACTTTTGTACTTAAGGTGAGTGGTTTTTGTGTTGTGTGCTTAAGGTGCTTTAGTTGTTAGAAACTTAAGTGTCGGTCTAAAACTTTAAGTGCGTGGTTTTTTTTCTTAAGGTGCGTGATTTGTATGCTTAAGGTACTTCAGTGTTGAAACTTGAGGTACGTCGGTCTAAAGCTTTAGGGTTGTGATTTTCCTTCTTAAAGTGCGTGATTTCCCTTCTTAAGGTGCGTTGGTCTAAAATTTTAGGTGCGTAAATTTCCTTATTAAGGTGCATTGTTTTCCTTCTTAAGGTGTTTTGTTTTCCTTCTTAAAGTTCTTTGTTTTTTCCTTTTAAGAAAAAAAAAATTTATTAATTTCATAAACAATTTCATGAATTCCTTTAGGTTGTCTGTCATCCCAAGCGCTCAGGTGAGAGCATTAATGGAGGACACATGTGTTTTTTTCATTGATTTGAATCATTGATCCAGATTTGATCAATGACTCAGATCTAAGTCACAACGTTTAGCAACAGGAGAACATGCCGCTTGAACATAAAATTTTGTAGATCTATAAAGTTAGCATTCATTTATAGGGGCTTCATAACCTTTTATATTCATTACTCTACATCAATTATTAGAATAAAGTCACGTGAATATAAATATCTGTTCAAAAATTTGTGAGAATCTAAAAGCATTAGAGTATTCAACTGCTGCATCTATACAAGTCATAACAAGAATCAGGCTCCCAAGTCATTGATCAAATGAGACTTGGTTTCCATAAAATGATTGCAATTCTCCACAGAGGTATACTCTAAGAGCTTTCACTTTTGATCATTCAAACTGGAACCATCTCTCATTTCCTTAGGAATACCATTCTCGTCGCTGAACACATCATATTGGCTTCTGATGGTGGTGTTCTGTGTTGCTGCACTATTTTCTTCTCCTTCTTGATCTATCGCCGGTTCATCTTTATCTTGCGAAACATCTTTCCCATCACTTCCCCTGTAAGATGTCACAGTTTCAAGTAAATTTTCAGATACTGTGCTAGTAGAAGACCCTTCGTCGTTTTTGTGAGTCTCATCGGAGTATGCTATTTCAACTCTTTTGCCACCTTGCAAATCACCCTGCTGATTGCTAGAAGACCCTTCGTTGTTTTTGTTAGTCTCATCTGAGTACGCTATTTCACCTCTTTTACCACTTTGCAAATCGCCCTTATTGCTAGAGGACCCTTCTTCGTTTTTGTTAGTCTCATCTGCAAATGCTATTTCACCTCTTTTGCCACTTTGCAAATTGCCCTTATTGCTAGAAGACCCTTCACCTCTTTTGCCACCACCCTGCAAATCGACCTGAATGTTCTCCCCTTCCCCTTCTGTGCTGCTCGACGACTCTCCTTCCACCATCTCCCCTTCCCCGTTGCTCATGTCTAAGTTTTCTCCTCCAACATTCAACTGCCCGGCAGTCTGTTTGCGCCCTAAACTATGTACACCTTCATCCACCCTGATTTTGGTTCTCACACTACCATGCTGCGGTTGTGTTATTTGATACACCAACCAGGCACAAACAACCAATCCCACTAGAAACTGAAGAACCCGGCCAGTCTTTAGTCCATTAGGTCTCAGGTTTCGACTACTAGCTACTATGTTCATAATGGTGTACAACACTTTCTCCGAGCTACAACACAAAATTTCACACTTTAACAACCAGAAATCTCTTTTTGCAACAAACAATGTAGACTGAATTTAGATACTCCAACTTCCACAGTTTGTTCTTATGCAGCATTTAATAGTACTATTGAACACAAGGAATTCCCAGAAAAAGCATTTGAAGAACAAAACATTCATTTAACAAAGTTTTTTAAATACTTTATTGGAACAAGATTAATCATTTTTATAGAACTTTCATCATAGTGTACAACACTTTCTCCATGCTAGAACATGAACTTTCACACTTTAACAACCTGAAATCTCTTTTTGCAACAAACAATATATACTGAATTTAGATACTCCAACTTCCACAGTTTGTTCTTATGTAGCATTTAATATTATTATTGAACACAAGGAATTCCCAGAAAAAGTATTTGAACCAAGCATATTCATTTAACAAAGTTTTTGAAATAATTTATTGGAACAAGATTAATCATGTTTACTAAGCTGGAATCACAACACAAATTGATCATCAAACTCAACTGCATTTAATTCAAATATAATAAAGCATAAATTGATTCATTCATCTGATCTATATAACAGAGAGGATCACAGAACAGACAATTTTTCACTAATACATCACCCAATTTCAATATTTTATACATACTATCAAGAACAAATCAAGGAAAAAAAAAAAACAAAAAATAAGAAATTATCAAAGATTTGATAATCATAAAGAGGCTTTGAAAATTGATAATTGCAGTAAATAATCATCCGCATATGAAACCATAAAGATTAGGGGATGATTAATCCCATGACGCATTAAACTCCTGAATCAGTAACTTCTTAACACGATCAAATATATGAATTAAACGAGGAAGAAATCGAAGAATTTACCTCAAAAAGTAAGGCTAATCGTCTTGATTCTGTACTGGTAAGAACTGATCAATCTTTGAAAAACTGATTTTGTTTCTTCGCATTTCTTATTTATTTTGGCAGTCTCTTTTACACTCTGCCTGTCTTTGACTCAAACGTTACTTTTTTACTTCGTTGAGGAAGAAAATGTTGTGGCGGTTGGTTATAATGGCTGAATTACCATCGTACCCTTCCTGGAAATATCGGGTTCTGTTGCAACGTTGTGTAACGTGGCGCATGCTTGTGAATAAGAAAGTGGGAGTGAGGGTATTTTTGAAAGAATCGAATTCTTTCGCCGGCGTTTCATTTCCCTACTTTAACGGCGCGCCTGATTATTGGGCTTTGTCAGACTATAAAAGTTGGCAAATTATTGGGCAAATTATATTAGGCAAATTATATTATGCACCGCGGTGCATAATCGATTATGCACCGCGCGTCTTTTTTTTAAATGAAAATTAACAGTGTTTATTTTCGCCGTTTCGCACCCTTTTACAAAAAGTAACTGTTATTCAGTGTCATTTTGTATACATTACAGTTTCAGTTGAACACAACTACAGTTTCATTTTGATATAACTATAGTTTCATTCGATATTTATAGACTCAAATATGTGAAAATGTTATTTTATTTTATTTTATATACACTATAGTTTTATTAAAACACAACTACATGATCATTTTGATATAATTACAGCTTCATTGTATTGTATAATATACACTCAAATATGTGAAATATTATTCAGTTTCAGTTTATATACACTGCAGTTTCATTTCACTATAACTACAGTATCATTTTGATATAACTGCAGTGTCGGTTTGGATATACTGTAGTGTCAGTTGGTGTTTAATACACCAAACAAACGGACTCCGTTAACTCTAACGGCGGGCCGTTTCTTTACTTAAAAAAACGGCGCCGTATATGGGCCGCGGTGCATAATCGATTATGCACCGCGGTCTATAATATAACAACTGATTATATTATGCACCGCGGTGCATAATCGATTATGCACCGCGCGTCTTTTTTTTTTTTAAACGAAAATAAACAGTGTTAGTTTCCGCCGTTTCGCACCCTTTTGCAAAAAGTAACTCTGTTATTCAGTGTCATTTTGTATACACTGCAGTTTCAGTTCAACACAACTACAGTTTCATTTCGATATAACTATAGTTTCATTTGATATTTATAGACTCAAATATGTGAAAATGTTATTTAATTTTATTTTATATACACTATAGTTTCATTAAAACACAACTACATGATTATTTTGATATAATTACAGCTTCATTGTACAATATACACTCAAATATGTGAAATGTTATTCAGTTTCATTTTATATACACTACAGTTTCATTTCACTATAACTACAGTATCATTTTGATATAACTGCAGTGTCAGTTTAGATATATTATAGTGTCAGTTGGTGTTTAATACACCAAACAAGCGGACACCGTTAACTCTAACGGCGGGCCGTTTCTTCACTTAAAGAAACGGCGCTGTTTTTGACCGCGGTGCACATGCACCACGGTCTATAATATAAGGACTGAAATTATTGTGGGGACCATGGTCCACACAATGTTATGTGGACCATAACAAAAAGTACATTTTTAATATATTAAATGTACATTATTTTTGTACTGAATGTACATTATACAATATAATGTACACTCAGAACAAAAATAATGTACATCCCCTGAATACAATGTACATTATTTTTGTACTGAATGTACATTATTTTTGTACTGAATGTACATTATTTTTATACTGAATGTACATTATTTTACAGTAAAGAAAATATGGTCCACACAACTTGTATAGACCATGGTCCACACAATAATGATTGATAAAAGTTAGGGATATGAATATCAATCTTTATACCATGTACTACGGTGCACATAGTACTGTGCGTTTCGCGTCTGTCAAAATAACGTCATTTTAATATGTTGTGTGGAGAGTCGACGCGACAGAGTGTATGTATATTATGTTATATAATTATGTACATTATGTTATACAATTATGTACATTTTGGTATACAATTATGTATATTATTTTATACAACTATGTACATTTTTTTTATACAATTACATACATTCGAACACGCTATTTTTTTTAACAGTTAAAAATTTATGTACATTCTCATATACAATTATGTACATTTTAGTATACAATTAATTATGTACATTTTCAAAACATGAATATTTTTTTTGTAACAAATTAATAGCAAACTACGAAAAAATGAAATTTTCAAAAAAAAAAAAAAAAAAAAAAAAAGTGCAAAACGACGTCGTTTTGCACCAGGGCGCACAATGCAATGTGTGCCCTGGTGCACGATATAAATTGCCTATGAATATCGCATGGGGGAATTCTATTTGCAATACCCTAATTGTTATTTACTAATCATTATTATGTGGACCATATTTTGTATACGGTAAAATAATGTACATTCAGCAGGTAGAAGCTGACCTGGGTTGCCTTCCCACCTGACAGGATAATAGGGCTGGCACCCGACTCGGATCACAAATGGGCATCTGACTCAGCATCACATGGGAACCCAACGGGCAGAACTCCAACGGTTAGGAATTCCAACAGGTGCCACCTTTACTGTCATTGAAGCCCCTATTGATGAGAGAGAATTAAAGGCTAGGCTCCCCATTTATGTCCCATGTTGTTACCGTTAGGACTCTAAGTATAAATGGGGCTTTCCTCAGCTAGCAAATGACAGATTGTATTTTCGATACTGAGACAAAAGCAATAGAACTATTGTTACTCTCTTATAACGTTATTATAGTATTATTATTATTACCGGTAACATTATTACCGTCATTGGTGCTTTCATTGAGAGCCAGAGTCCAATACTCAAGCAGGCTACGACACACACAACTCATTCCTCTTTCAACAGCAAGCTTGGAAGAATGGTGTCCCGCAGCTCCCATGGTTCCCGCAACGTGAACAATGGCAATGCCTCAGGTGACCTCCGGGACCAACTCACCAACAATCGCGGAGGGGTCCTCCGAGAACAGCTCAACAACGGGAGGCCCGGGGACCTTCGAGACCAACTCAACAATGGAGGAGACCTTCGAGACCAACTCAACAATGGAGGGGACCTCCGAGACCAACTCCACAATGGAGGGGCGAACCAAGTCGTGAACCTCCAGGCGACCATTCAGCAAGCAGTGACGGCGGCACTAATCCAAGTGGCGGTGGGACTACAAGGCCAAGTGCCCCCGCTGCGGCCTCAGGAAATAGAGGTAGAATCCCCACGGAGGGTGGATGCCCAGGACGCAACCCGTGCCGCGAGGGACGCAGGGCGTCGCACTAGGACCGGGGGTCCGGGAGAGGGCACCCAAAGAAGTGGACCGGCCGGACGGCAACCTAGGCCCTCCCGCTCTGCCTTATAACGGTTGGGACATGGGGCGCCACGCTCGGCAATGGCCGGAGTCGCGTGCCGAGGGGTCCTCCGCTAGAGGCCCTCGCCGACACGAGGAAAGAGAAGCGGAAAGATCGCCCACAGAAAGGATGGGCGAGTCTTGTGGGCCGGCACGGTGACGAGTCGGCCCTGCGTCGACATTCGGATGAGCGACGCTTCGATGAACCGGCCCCACGTCGGCACTCGGCGGAGCGACACGTCGATGAGCCGGCTCCGCATCGGCACTCAGCGGGCGAACGACGCGTTGGTGAGCGGGTTCCACACCGACACTTTGATGGACGAAACGTCGAGGAACCAGCTCCGCGTCGACACTCAAATGGACGGCACGTCGATGAACTAGCCCCACACATGGAGGAGCGGCAGCCGGCCCCGCGCCGATACCCTGACGAGTCGGCCCTGGTCGAAAGGCTGCAGAGAAGGATCGAGGAGTTAGCAAGAAGGGTGGAGGCACGGGAGCAGTCGTCGGAACCCGAGGTACGAATGGCAGCACCGTTCTCCCCAAGCATCATGGACGTACCTCTGCCGAGGGACTTCAGGTTACCCGCCATTAAGGCGTACACGGGAGCCACTGACCCACGTGTCCACATGACTAGGTACAAGGCTGCTATGGTAATGATTGGGGCAAGGGACCATCATGTGCCGAGCGTTCTTGTCCACCCTGGATGGAACGGCCCAAGATTGGTTCAACACCATCCCGGACAGGTCGATCCAAAACTTTGGAGAATTGTCCAAAAGCTTCCTGACATACTTCTCTGATAGCATACAGCGTAAGAAACCGTTCTCTCACCTCTGTGTACTAAAGCAAGATAGAGGCGAGAGCCTCAAAGACTTCCTAATCAAGTGGAAAAAGGAAGTCAATAATGTCTACGACTTCGACTCCAAGGCGGCGATCCCGATATTCATCCACGCCTTGAGATCGGGGTATTTTCACAAGCAGCTGAACGCCCACCATCCCCGTACTTACGAAGATTTGATGAGGACGGCTAGCCGCTATGCCGAAGCAGAGGACGTCGACAGGAAAAAGAAAGATGAGGAGGACGGCAGGAAAAACGGGAAACCTGGGAAAGCTGGTCCGTCCAGCCAGGCACCACGTTCGAACCACCCGGCCGCAGGGAAAGGCCGGGACCATGAACGGCCTCGCCTAGTTCCCCTGCATAACCTAACTCCTCTTACCCATCCCGTCAGTGTCATCCTAAAACAGGCTGAGGAGATGGAATAGTCGAGTTCCCACCAGAGTGCATGAAGGTCTCCCCAAAAGGAGACCAAGCAAAGTACTACAGGTTCCATAGGCAACCCGGGCACGACACGGATGAATGTAACGTACTGAAGAGACAAATAGAAGAACTCATCCAGCAGGGCTACTTCAGGCATTTCGTCAAGCGATCCAAGCAGCAGCAACAGCCGCAGCGCGATCCATCAAAAAATCCACCAAAAAATGTCTGGAGGAAGGAGGATGGCGTCGAGCCGTCTACCTCAAACGCCAAGAAAAGAAAACATGACCAGATATCTGAGCAGGATGATAGCGAGAAGGAAACCGAGGTGGCGCCCGGACGACAAAAGAAGCACACCATACTCTTTATCTATGGTGGACCTGCGGGGGCCGACACACCCACAGAGAGGAAGAAGTGGAGCAGACAGCTGTACGTGGGAGAAGTGGTAAGTCTTCCCAAAAGGAAAGAAGCAGAGGCGGGAGGCCATCACTTTCTCTGACGAGGACCTCCCTGAGGGCCCCTTACCCCATCGCGATGCACTTGTGATTAAGATGGACATCAATGATATGATCGTACATCGCATCTTGGTCGACACGGGAAGCTCAGTGAATGTGATGTACTACGACGCCTTCACCGAGTTAGGGCTACCTAGAGGCCAGCTCAAAGAGGTACGAACTCCACTCTCTGGGTTTACTTGGGATTCGGTGGAAATAGAAGGGTCGGTGACCCTGCCCGTGGAGATAGGAACGAGCCCCAACATTCGCAAGCTGGACATGGAGTTCATCGTGGTAAGACTCACATGTGCGCACAACATCATACTCGTGAGGCTAGCACTGGAGGACCTCAAGGCCATAGTATCGGTGGAACACTTGTGTATGAAGTTCCCCACTCCGAACGGAATAGGAGTCGTCAGAGGTGACCGACGGGCAGCCCGCAGTTGCTACATGAAGGCATGCAAGAAGATTGGCAGTAAGGACCTACAGGTCCACACGATCGCGGAGAAAATTTTCAAAGAAGAAGAGGCCTGGCCCCGCGTTGAGCCCGTGTCAGAAACGGAAGATATAGTTCTGGATCCCTCCAGACCAGACCGAGTGGTGAAGATCGGCACAGGCTTAAGCCCAGAGCTAAGGGCCCAGATAGTGGATGTAATCTGTCGTTCTCACACGGTGTTCGCATGGGGGCCAGAGGACATGCCGGGCATAGATCGAAGGATCATAACCCACAAGCTCGCAGTCGACCCCAGCGGAAAACCAGTGCATCAGCGAAAAAGGTATATGTCGGCAGAACAAAGAGAGTTCGTGAAAAAGGAGGTGACCGCGTTACTCCACGTAGGGCACATCAAGGAGATTTACTACCCACAGTGGCTGAGCAACGTAATCTTGGCTCCCAAAGGATCAACGTGGAGGATGTGCGTGGTCTACACGGACCTCAATAGGGCATGCCCTATGGACCGTTTTCCACTACCCAATATAGATCAATTGGTGGATGAGACGGCAAGATGTGAGCTCATGAGCTTCATGGACGCCTTCCGTGGGTACCATCAGATATCCATGCATGAGGAGGACGCCGAGAAGACCGCTTTCACCACTCCCGAGGGGATATTCTGCTACTTGGTCATGCCGTTCGGATTGAAGAATGCCGGTGCCACATACACTCGCATGGTGGCAAAGCTGTTCAAGATAGTACTGGGACGAAACATGGAAGCATACGTGGACGACATGATCGTCAAAAGTCGCAAGGCCACCTCCCATGTCGAGGATCTTAGCGAGGTATTTTCCATTATGAAGAAATTTAATTTGCGCTTGAACCCAAAAAAAATGCACCTTCGCCGTTGATGGGGGCAAATTTTTGGGCTTCATGGTCACTAGGAACGGCATTAGGCCGAATCCAGAAAAGGTAAGGACTATCCTTGACATGGAGCCTCCGCGGTCCATAAAGGAAGTCCAGAGACTCAACGGGTGTCTGGCGGCCTTAGGCCGTTTTCTATCTAAATCGGCTAAACGTTCCCTCCCCTTCTTCCAAATCTTGAAAAAAAGCAAAGGGTTCGAGTGGACGCCAGACTGTCAAAAGGCCTTCGAGGAGTTGAAAAAATACTTATTGTCCACGCCCCTGCTTGCAAAGCCAGAGGCAGGTGAAGCCCTAACCTTGTACTTGGGCGTGTCACAGGGTGCGATCAGCTCCGTACTGGTCAAAGAAGAAGGAGGGACTCAGCGTCCCATCTACTACATAAGCAAAGCCCTACACGACGCGGAGCTCCGATACAGTGTGTTGGAGAAGACAGTATTTGCCATAGTCACTTCATCAAAAAGGTTGGCTCACTACTTCCAAGCTCACCCCATCCACGTACTCTCACACCAGCCGTTGGGGAGCTTCCTCCGGAATACTAACAGCTCCGCCAGGATGGCACGGTGGGCCATGCACCTCAGTCAGTTTGACATAGATTTCAAACCAAGGCCCGCCATCAAAGGCCAAGCTCTTGCAGACTTTATAGTGGAGTGCACAGCTCGGGAAGTGACGGACCAGGTAGAAACTGAAGATGGAGGGTGGTGGACCTTGTCCACAGACGGTTCTTCCAACAGCAAAGGTTGCGGCAGCGGCGTAGTGCTCGTCACTCCGGAGGGATTCCGCGCCTACTATGCCATCCGGTTCCACTTCAAGTTATCTAACAATGAGGCGGAGTACGAGGCCCTCCTCAATGGACTGCGGTTGGCGGCGGGACTACGAGCTGAAAAGGTCCGAGTTCGATGCGATTCCAAGCTGGTAGTCAGCCAGGTGTCTGGGGAGTATGAAGCCAACGAAGGAAGCATGCAGAAATACAGAGACGCGGTGTTGAGAACCCTGCGCGAGTTTGAGGGATATGAGATACACCAGGTACTGAGAGAGCAGAACGCCGACGCCGACATGCTCTCAAAGCTACGTACCGGAGTCCCCAGCCACATTAGGAAGATCGCTCGACTAGGAGACCTCGAGACTTCAAGTATCGACGTTTCGTGGGTCTTCCTTGTGCAGACTAGGGAGCCATGTTAGATTGATCATATCAAGTGATACAAGGCATATGGCACCCTACCGCAAGACGAGGCAGACGCAAAGGTAACGAAGTTACGGGCACCCAGCTACGTTGTCTCGGGCGATAAGCTGTACAGACGCTCCTACAATGGCACGTTACTAAGGTGTCTATATCCAGATGAAGCCAAGTTGGTGATAAAAGAAGTCCACGAGGGGGTATGCTCCGCGCACCAAGGGGCGTACACCATTGCACGGCGCATCATGTTACAAGGGTATTTTTGGCCCAAAATGCTGAGGGACTGCGCCGAGTATACAAAGCGATGTCCCAAGTGCCAAGAATTCCAAGCACTACCGGGTCGACCTACGACGAATTACACCCAGGTAAGCACCGCGATTCCTTTTTCAAGATGGGGAATTGACCTGGTAGGGGCCCTTCCCACGGGGACTGGAAGCAAGAAGTACATCATTGTGGCCATCGACTATTTCACGAAATGGGTGGAGGCCGAGCCCCTGGCGAGCATCACCGCAGCAAGGTGCAAAAGATTTGTCGAGAAAAACATCCTATATCGTTTCGGTATCCCTCTCCAGGTAATCACAGACAATGGTCGTCAGTTCGAGGCACGAGAATTTTCAGAATTCTTAGCAGGATGGGGCGTTAAGCATAGCCGGGTGGCGGTATCTTATCCTCAGGCGAATGGGCATGTGGAGAATGTGAATAGAACCATCCTCGACGGCCTCAAGAAAAAGCTAGAAGTAGCCGGCGGAGCCTGGGTGGAGGAACTCGACGGCATCCTCTGGGCCTATCGCACGACACCAAGAAGGGCCACCGGAGAAACCCCGTTCGCACTCGCCTATGGATTCGAAGCTCGGGCCCCGGTGGAAGTAATCATACCTAGTAGAAGGGTGGAGGAGTTCGAGTCAGAACAAAATGAACTCCACCAAAGGGTGGATCTGAACTTCTTGGATGAAAAGAGAGAAGCGGCATTCTGCAAGATGGAGAACTACGGTCGTCAGCTAAAGTCCTACCACGACGCAAAAGTCCGACCCCGGTATTTCCAAGTCGGCAACCTTGTGTTGCGAAGAAGGGAAGCCAGCCAACCACTTGAAGGGGAAAAAATTCGCAAAGAAATGGGAGGGGCCTTACGCCGTGGAAGAAGTCGTTCGCCCAGGAACATACAAGTTAAAAACTACAAGGGGAAGAATGATCGATCGGGTATGGAACTCGGAACATTTGATCAAGTACTTTCCTTAAAAATCCTGTAGTAGCAATCATTGGAACTAGTACTTGGTAATTGCGGTCCGTCCGCTCTACATGCTAAAGTTCTCTGAAATAATATCTTATTTTCATGGTCCGTCCATGTTATTTAGTAAAACAAGTTCGTTATCATCTTTTACAAAACTTTCTAAAATAATATCTCGCGCTCATGGTCCGCCCGTGTTGAAAAGAAAAAAAAAAAAAAAAAAAAAAAAAAAGCTCGGATGGCCGAGGCACGCCCCGACCAACACCGAGTCCGTCTCGGCAAAAAAAAAAAAAAAAAAAAGAAGGCGCCTCGGCCACAGTTTGGCCGAGGCACGCCTCGACCAACGCCGAGCCTGTCTCGAAAAAAAAAAAAAGAGGCAACATGTGTATTCCGAAGTAACTAGTTTATTCCGAATATTCTAAAATAGTAGCAAGTTGTTCAAACACAGAAAGCAAATATTTCAAAGACATAGCTAGAAAGCAAGGGAAAATCTCAAGTACGACTACGAACTACTCATGGTCCGAGAGCTCCTCAATCATAATCTGATCAAGTGGAACATTGGGGACGTTGCTAGTGCCGATGCCGTGAAACTCGTCCACAAAAGAATCCTCACGAGCATCTGTAACATCATCAATGGATTCATTCTCAGCATCAGGATCAGGATTCTTCTCTATTACAGGCAAGCCAAGGGACACGGGGTCAAAATCTGGAACCTTCTCCCTCAACACTGGAAAAATCTGCTGATGCTTCGTATACATTCCAATGTTAAAAGCCACCTGCGCCTCAGCCTCAACCGCCTCTTGACCAGCCCTAGTCTTGAGGAATTCCCGGATAGCCTCAGGAGTGCTCATATAGTGCATTGCGTCCTCTCTAAACTCGGCTGAAGTCTTGTAGACCTCCACAGCCCGGCCGAGGGCATCAGCATGGCCAGCACGGGTCCTCTCGTGGTCCTCTCGCTCCTTCACGATGGCAAGTTTAAGCGCTCCATGCTCTTTCCTTAGAGCCTCAAGCTCGCCCTCCATCTTGCTCAGAGCCTCTTCCCGGGCCAACAGCGCTTGGTGCTCCTTCCTTAACGCCCCAAGCTCGCCTTCCATCTTGCTCAAAGCCCCTTCCCGGATTGATAGCAAGTCCTTCAGGCTCTTGTTGTCCACGTCCCTAATTTTAACATCCTCAATGAGCGCGTCCGTCACCCGCCGTCGTTGGGCATGAATGATCTACCCCTCTAGCAGGGCCTGAAAGTAACAGACGGAGTAAGACACGCCAGGGCAGAGAAAGAACATAAGTATGAGAAAACTGACCTAAAAAATGTGTCTAAGATAACGCTCTTGCAGCATGTTGACATCCATGGCGACAAGGTGTTCCAAGTTCGCAGGAGGAGCGATACGAGCAGCATACTTAACCGCATCAAGACTCTTATTTATTAACGACGCTCCGGGTGGCACGTCCATTCCCAGTCGGATCAAGTTGGTCCGAACACGCGAGCCAGACTCAGTGGAAGTATCTCCTTGCACCTCTGGGGGTTGAGGGGAAAAGGTAACGGCCGTGGGTGTGCGAGTTGGTGAAGGCTGCATCACCCCCTCGGCAACCTTGGTTGGAGTAGGCGTACGCACCCTCTCGGCGACCTTGGTCGGGGTAGGCGTACGCTCAACGACCTTAGATGGAGTCGGCGTGCATGCCGGCGGAGGCGGCATCACCTCCGCGGCCTCGGCTTGACCCTTTTTACCCTTCTCTACCTTACTCTTCTTGGAGGGGGGATCCTGTCGCGACAAGTATCGACCGGTTCTCGAAGATGAAGACATGGTACATGCAATAAAAAGAAGACAAGTTAGAGTTAGTAGTTGATGAATAAAAACTAAGTGGTAACAGAAAAGTACCCGTGGGTGAAAGAACAGCCGGATGAGCCCTCACGAAGCCTAAGCCCGCGAGCTTCCACTCGGTAGTATAATCAACGATCGATAAAAGACCATCCCCTAGTAGATCATCTACATCTCGGCGGAGGGAGGGACTCATGTCAAGAGTAGGTGGGCAACGTAAATGGGATCCCCACGTGACACGAAAGGGAGACAGACAACCCACAAGGGTGACAAAGACATATTTGGGTTTCCAATCCTTGTTATAAGTAGGACGGTCCTCAAAGAGTTTGAAATGCGGCCTACTCGAAACCATGACAAATCCCTTACCCTCCTGAGAAGCCCTACCAACTATGAAAAGAGCCTGGAAAAGATCTAGCGTGGGTTCTATCCCTTTGTCCTTACATATAGAGAGAAAGCCCGCAATTACCTGGTGACCATTGGTAACAAGATGGCCGGGGGCTATCTCGTAGTGGTTCATAAAATCTATCACAAACCTATGAAGGGGAAACCGCAGCCCAACCTGTAGCGACAGAAGGTGGACCCCAAAATACTTATCGAGGGGTGGGTCGGTGATATTACCCCGAGGGTCAGGAGGGAGAGTCAGAACGTCAGGACTAAGGAGACCTCTAATATCATCCCAATGTCGTCCCCCTAATTGAGGCCGTATGGACAAGACAAGGGACTTATCAAGAACGGAGTATGAAGCCTTGCGCTTTTTCTTCTTTTTCAGTTGGGGCCTAGGTGTGGGCGAGTCAGCAACAAACGGAAGAGGGGGAAAATTTTCAAAAAGAAGGGAATCATCAAGAAGGTATTCCTCATCAAAATCAAGTTCTCCGACATCAATCAAGGGAGTAACATCCATTATAAGCAAAAGACACTAACCTCACCTCGGTTACAAATAAGCTCGCAAGACTTGGGTACAAAAACTGCCTGTCAGGAAAAGAGCGTGTTAATATATATATATATATATATATATATATATATATATATATATATATATATATATATATATATATAACCGAGTCCTCGGCCACGGGTTGGCCGAGACACAACTCGGGTGGCAGAGGCATGCGCCTCGGCCGAAGAGCCCAAGTCCGCCTCGGCCAAAAAAAAAAAAGGGGCTGGGTAGCGCCTCAGCCACAGGCCGAGGCGCACGTCTCGGCCTTCTGGTCGAGGCGCGGTGCCTCGATCGGAAAAAAAAAAAAAAAAAAAAAAGAGCAAGACACGTATATTCATATATACATAAATAAATTGTAAAATAATAATAATGACAGAGACTTACAGAGCTGTGGCAGAAGCTGTTCAAGAGGTGCTCTCAAATTGCTCAGAGACAAGGGTTTATATTGGAGAGGAGCCAGAGATAAAAAAAAAAAAAAAAAAAAAAAAAGTTAAGTGAAGCATGAAAGGATTTGGAAAGCACAAATCAGGGATTTGGAAGACACAAATTAGGGATTTGGAAAATAAAACCACATATCCTAAATCAAGCAGGATTCTACATAAGATCAAATAAAATCGCATATCCTAAATCAAGCAGGTTTCTACACAGGATCTTCTACACAAGATCAAGATAGATTCAGCCTTACTCCCAAGTCAACTCAAACACATCCGTTGACTCAGGAGTAGGGGGGACTGGTGACAGGATAATAGGGCTGGCACCCGACCCGGATCACAAATGGGCATCTGACTCAACATCACATGGGAACCCAACGGGCAGAACTCCAACGGTTAGGAATTCCAACAGGTGCCACATTTACTGTCATTGAAGCCAGCATTGAAGCCCCTATTGATGAGAGAGAATTAAAGGCTAGGCTCCCCATTTATGTCCCATGTTGTTACTGTTAGGACTCTAAGTATAAATGGGGCTCTCCTCAGCTAGCAAAGGACAGACTGTATTTTCGATACTGAGACAAAAGCAATACAACTATTGTTACTCTCTTATAGCGTTATTATAGTATTATTATTATTACCGGTAACATTATTACCGTCACCACCCTAGGCTGTCTTCTTACTGAAGAAGGCATCTGGTTGCCTTCTTCGGTGAGAAGGCAACCCCTCGCCTTCTTACTTTGCCCCTACAAAATTGTGTTGATCCATCCCCGAACCTAAACTTGGTTAGTTTAATTATATTATGTACAACGATGTCTACATTTCAAGATAGATCATCAATAAATATTTACTTTTAATATATATCAAATGTTCATTTTTAATATAATAGAAGTTTATTTTAGATAGTATACTAAAAACTACTGTAACTTTTAAACAATAAATTTATAGTATACTAAAAATTAACTTGTATGTCAGTAGTTCATCTTACAATTTGAACCATAATCCATAATATAATGATGGGTTACCTTGGCAAATTATACCATGGACTTGGGTCCACCTTTCATTGTGGACCCTAATCCAAAATGACATTTAAATTGTGTGCTTGCAATTAACAGATTATGAACCTATAAATAAATTGAAAGTACATAATATATTAATTGCATGTACATAATTTTTTTTATGCTAATTGTATATACATAATATGTTAATAGTAGTAGCCACATGATTTATTAAATGAATGTACATAATATTTTAATTGCAGACACATAATTCAAAGGAAAATACTACGTGTACTCCCATTTTTTACTTCCAACTTTTACTCCCTTCCACAAATTCTTGAGGTAGACACATTCCCTGTGACCCACATGATGAAAATAGTCAATCTTTGTTTGTCATGTCATGGAATAAAAGTGAGGGAGTAGAATTTGAAAGTACATATAGTAGAACTCTAATTCAAATGTCACTTTGAACTAGGATTTACAATGCAATGTGGACCTTGACCAATGATATAACAATTTGTTATTTTACAACTGGGCTAGGCGTACCTTGACGTACAAAATACTACTCCTCTCTCCTATTTTATATGTTAGTTGGATTAATAAGGTTTGATTGTAATTATTTACAATACAATTTTTTATAAACTCAATTTTGCATTTATATATAAAATTTATATATTTAAAAATGATTTTTTTTAGAAATTAAATTAAAAATACTATTATCAACAAAAATCAACATTTAAAATTATAAAGAGAAAAGGGTCAAATAGGTCCTTAAACTTTACCTCAAAAGTCAATTAGGTCCCTAAACCTTAAAAAGGTGCAATTAAACCCTCAAACATGTCAAA